AAATCAATTTTGCGTGAAAATTCTCATTTATCTTACATTTTTTTTCTCGGCACTTTTGAAAATACTGGAAACTCCCAAACACAGAATCAAGATTCACCTTCCCACCAGAAAAGATACTGGAGTTGAATTTGGAAGTATTATTTTGACTACTTTTGAGTACACAGGCAAAATATACATTGTAAAATCAATACATTAATTTCTCCACTAAGAATCTAATAGTTGTATATTATTATCTGCAGTATTTAAATTTAAATTTTTTCAATTAGTTGTTATATGTTAATTCAGGGATTAAAGCTAAGAACTCAATCAACGCTATTTGCTAATCTCATAATGTTCCTATTTAAAATATATCAATGAATCTAARTAAGAACACTTAAAAAACATTACTGATTTATTACATTATTTTAAATTTAAATTATTAGATGACAGTGAATGCACCAATGCTCTTCAATTAGAGCCAATAAACAATGAAGCGGCCTGGATTTTAGACATTTTGGTTATTTTAAGCTTCTTGATAATGTCTACAATATGCATGGCGGTAATGACGTGCTGCTATTACTACTGTAACCAACGACAAATTCAAAGTACGTTTGAAATTTATCACAATAAGTGTTTAATGGAGCAAAATGACGTATAATTGAAAATAAAAATATATAACAGAATATTTGAATTGGATGTCAATATAGTTAGTAAGACTTCTCACTGTGATAGTAATATTATACCAAAATCGATAAGGCTGACCAACATGTTTTCGATTACCTATGATGCTTATGTTCATTAAATTTATTCATAAACCTGTTTAGTCTCAACATAATATTATTTTCCAATTTATGCTTGTCATAATGTATAAAAAAATATGATCAAAATTATATTTAGATATTATCTTTAAAGTATATAGTTAAAGAGGTTCTCAAATTGTCACATGTGTACCACCCGTRGTAAGGGAAATACATTACATTTTCATTGATATTTACTCATATTATTATCAACCTGTACACATAATGTTATGAAGTCAAATATATATTTTTTGTTTAATATATAACAAATAAGACGTATCCAATATTGGTATATTAAAAAGAACTATACTATTTTATAGATTTGAATATTTTTTGTATGAKACTCTAATGGTTATACTCTACTGATAAATGATAACTAATACCTACAATGATTAAGTGGTACGCGTGAAAACATTTGAGAATCTCTAATCTAAARTCATTTTTTATAAACGTTTGTTTTTTGTAGAATATAATATAGGGAACGTAAATAGTTTTGAACTTCGWAAATCTACTGACATAGAATCAAACTCTAACATTGAAGTAATTTGTTCTACCGGAAATTGTGGTATGAACATTGGAAATGTCATACTTGAATCTAGAAAAACAATGACCAGCTATACAAACGAAACGTTTTACAACAATTATTCTCGTGACAACAGTGTTGATGATTATACCGGAGAAAACTTGTACKTGGAAATTGATGAAAGTACTTTTAATCGTGCAGGTACATAAATTATATGTACCTATATTAAATGAGTATATTTTGACAAATATTTGCTTTCCAAAGTAGTTAATCATTGTGTGTATCAGAGATATGTTAATTTATTTAAGAACTAATAATTAATGYCAGTAATGGAGCTTAAAAAGAAAATGAAAAACAATGCCTACTTTTGATTACCCTACTAACATAATGGTATTGTGTTTATTTTAACGGTTTAAATTAAAGTGAGCAGAGTGGTAGTAAAATTGAATGTTTAATAAACAAATATACGATATTCATAGTTATTCGATGTAATGATTTTTTTTTTCACACACTTTTTTTTGTTTGTACCTATATTAATATTTATACGCAATAAATAAACATTTGGAATGTGATTAATATATAACACGGATAATGTACCTGTGTATAATGATTCTGCTTGGAAAAACTTCTAAGGTAAAATCATTGTATTGTATTTTTTCTTACAGAAGACTTGTACGATCATCTAGATTTCCTACGTCCAACGGTATCGTGGAAGCCACATTATCAAAGCGCATTGGTGTTGCAAGATCCATCTAGTGGTAATAGTTCGAAAAAGGAAGAGACAACATGATGTATTTTGACTATCTTATATAATAATGTTTGCTTTATTATGTAATTTATATTAATATTTTATAGACACGATAAAATTATTTTAAACATTATTAATGCACATGGAATTAAATACGTAAACATTATAAACAATATTAAATAATGTATTTTTCATAGATTTAAATAAATTATTATTACTTCAAAATAATTTTATTAGTACGGTTAATTTATAATATATAGTCATAACATWGAGTTATATTTTTGAATCCTTTAAAATAATGGAATTTATTTAAAATGAATGATAGGTGCAAGTCGCAACGACAGAAATTATTGAATAATGATTGTAACAACTTTATTCAATAATTTCCGTTCCTAATCGTTCTGAAAACAATTTACCACATCTTAGAGTGAGATTACATTTTTACGTGCAATGATAAAAATTATAATATATAATACAGTTTATATTGTTTATTCGTGGTTTATATTCAATTATGTTCAATTATCTAAGTCCTTGTTCGTTTTAATAATTATTTTCGRTTAACTTATCTTGCTCACTTCGGGGGTTTTCTCCACGTTTGTCTCTTCGTTGGGGCTATTGATTTTGGGCCCACCGATAACCGAATCGCGTGTTTCATCTTCAGTCGTCACGAGCTTACTAGATTCGGCAGCCATCGTAGTTGCGGACTTATTTATTTCTTCAGCAACTGTTTTATTTTCTTCAGTGGTGGGTGTGATTTCATCGACGACCGTATTCTTTTCTCTTGCGGATGGTTTAGTTTCTAAGGCAGCCGTTTTCTTTTTTTCTAT